TGGTATTTCTGGTACAAATTTTTTCTTCTCTCAATGTGTTCGTTAGTTTGCATACTATGTAGAAAAGTGGAACTTTCTTGAATTTCTCCTGTAATTTTTGCGCTGATATCAAATTTTTGCTCAGTGAAACGCAAGAAGAGAGAGCTCTTGCTCTGACACAATGGCCTTCATATAAAGGGAGGATAATTGGTTGACAATGAGAAATGGATGAATGGCTGCTTCAAGCATTATTCCAGCATTTTCTTCGTAACAGCAGCGGCAGTGTGTGTGTATGTGTGTGTGCCCTGGTCTCGTGTGTACCCGCCCTGGTTAGAAAAGCCTGGATGTCACCCAGAAAGCAAAAATGCAGACGAAAGTGGGTAGGGTACACAGCAATTACCGTTTAGTTTTCTCTCAGCTTGCAGCACTGATTGGTTGGGCGTGGCTGCTGCACTTCATGCCAATTGGTTAAGGGCTGTCGGCGGACGAGCTAGACCCCTCCTACTTCCGTAGCACATCCGAGGAGTATGGTGAGGCAAAGATGGCGGCCGGGGAAGGGTGGGAAGAAAGAGGAAATCGGAGGGTAAGGAGATGCCGGACGTTGGTGCTGCAGTACGGGAAGGAAACTGACAACAAATGGATTCGAAATCGGATGTTCAACAGCGGCAGCAGCAGGCGCAGGCAAGCGCCAGTTCTGCGCCACAGCCCGCACCATCTTCCGTACGACTTGAGCCAGCTAATACAGCAGTATCCGGAGCAGTGCTCGCCACCGTTACAGCCAAGGAGCAAGCGAACGTCGATCTTAATAATTTTAACTTCGGCGCTTTTCAGGTACCGCTGCTACTTTCTGTCTGTTTCTCCCAACCTTTTCCGCTATCTAACATTTAGAATGTTATAAAATGTTCCCAGAAGAACTGTTATCAATATCAGTCAGATAATCCGTATGTGTATCGGATAATGTGTGGTTACTGAGATGTTCTGAGAAGTCAGGTAGCAAAACAACTTTTTGTCATCAGCGTGGCAGCTAACAGTTTCTTCATTCTTCCCCACCCTTCGTTCGTAGCATCCATGATGCCGCATATGTCTATGTAATGAAGTGGCATTATCCCTGGTTTTTATGCGTTTTTGCAAATACGTAAATTGCAAAAACGCATATTGGGAAGAGGCTGTCTGTGTG